GTTTATAGTAATGCTCCCTCGATTCTGGTTTTGATGATCACTCGTTTTGTTTCCTATGAATGGATGGTTCATTTCTATCTAGTGTTAGTAGAACTAGGGCAATGTTTAGTGTTCCTGCGGCTTTTGAACTGATTTGATTGTGATGAATAACTGGATTTCGAGTTATATCACCCCATTATGGTTACTCGTTGCTTATTTCCCCACAATTTTGTTCTTGTTTGCTTCAGGGAAGAGTTCGCAAGTTCCACAATTCCTTCTTGAAGCGAACATGGCACCGATTTTGTGTACACAGCCAAGGAGATTTGCGGTTGTAGCCGTTGCTAAGATGGTTGCAAAATCTCGAAACTCTGATTTAGGTGAAGAAATTGGTTACCACATAGGACATTCAAAGATATTGAGTGAAGGGTAAGTATGACACACGAGTATCACACTCTGTTATCTAGATCTTCATGACCTAGTAGAACAATTTTTGTTTGTTTTAATTTTTAGTCCGAGTTTTCAGGACAAATGTTAACTAATGATTTTTGGCCTTTTCCTCTTATGATGACTTTATGCAAATATTCTCTGTTTTTGTTGTTGCATGCAGATCAAAAATTCTGTTCAAAACTGCTGGAGTTCTTTTGGATGAAATGCTAGACAAGGGGTTAAATGCACTTAAGTACAAGGTTATTATCCTTGACGAAGTGCACGAACGATCTGTGGAGTCTGATCTTGTTCTTGTCTGTGTTAAGCAGTTTCTTATTAAAAATAATGACCTCAGGTTATAGCCCTCTTCTATAACATGGTGTAGTTGTTTTAAGGTTCTCCAACTGTTCCACTTGTTTGTGTTTGCTGATGAAGAGAAATCACTTTAATTCAGACTCATTACTTCAACAGTGTAACTACCTAAATAGTTTGAACTGAGATCATGGTTGCTTAAGAGGTGATGTGATTTTTTTTACAGGGTGGTCTTAATGTCTGCAACTGCGGATATAACAAGGTACAGAGACTACTTTAAAGAACTTGGCAGGGGTGAACGGGTAGAAGTGGTTGCTATTCCTAGCCCTGACCAGAGAACTATTTTCCAGAGAAGAGTATTATATCTTGAGCAGGTTAAACTTTTTGAGATTATTTTTGTTATGTGTTGCTCTTTAAATGATCACTTTTGATGATCTATCACATAGTATGCTCACTTTCACTTTGATGAAAATAACAAAACAAAAAAAACTATCAGAGTATTTGTTGAAGGAATTAAGATTTATGAAAAAAAATTCTGGTTTTCTTATTTGACGGCAAGCCTCACCCTACTAATTGAATGTGATGCTGTTCATGAAGCAGGTTGCAGGATTGCTTGGTGTGAGTTCTGATTTGTCAGCTTACTGTCCTGGTCCAAGTCCTTCAGCTGATACAGAAATCAAACCTGTACTGCAGAATCTTATTCATAATCTCATCTTATATATTCATGAAAAGGAACCAGACATGGAGAAGAGTATTTTGGTTTTCCTTCCAACATACTATTCACTTGAGCAGCAGTGGTATCAATTGGAACCCTTTCGCGCATCTTTTGAAGTTCACATATTGCACCGAAGCATTGACACTGAGCAAGCCCTGGCGTCTATGAAGATATGCAGATCCCGTCGCAAGGTTTCTCTTCTAACTTTCCATGTTTCTTCTTCCTTGAGAAGTGTGCATTATTTTTGTGACCTGCAGGTGAGAGGACCTAACTGAAATTAAATAACTTGAGAAGATCTTAATCTAAGAATGACACAAACACATGTTCACATGTTTATACATCTTTTTATTGAGCATATGAGTAAATTTACTTGATGAGATGATAAATTTTTACCTTCCATTTTCAGCTTCCCTAACAGTTAAAACGTTGTTGTGCATTTTGGTGCTACTTATCATATTATTGGGGAGAAACAAACTCGTACTAATCCAACTACCATTATGTGGCTTCAATGATTACATAGATAATATAACCTTTTCAAACTACTATTCTCAGGTAATACTGGCTACAAATATTGCGGAATCTTCGGTAACAATACCCAAAGTAGCCTATGTCATTGACTCATGCCGGTCTCTGGAAGTGTTCTGGGATGCATCCAGGAAAAGAGATGCAGTTCAGCTTGTTTGGGTCTCTAGATCTCAGGTATTGCTTGAATTTACTATATACTGAACAAAAGTCAGATGTCTGTAATTTAGTTTCTTATTATAGGCTGAGCAACGTAGAGGGAGGACTGGTCGAACATGTGATGGTGAGGTGTATCGCCTGGTGCCGAGTGCATTCTTCAACAAGCTTGAAGAACATGAGCCCCCAGCTATTCTTAAATTGTCATTGAGACAACAAGTTCTCCATATATGCTGCACAGAATCCAGAGCCATTAATGATGCAAATGGTAATAATTTTAGAAATGTATAGACGATGCTTTATGTCTTTTTCAATAGACGAGGTCAAAGTTGGGTTACCGTTGAACTAGTAAGGTTTGCTAGGTCCATTAGTACTTATCACATAAATTTCCTATTACATGTTCTTGTCTGGCCCGAAGAATGCTCTGTAGATATAGTAGTGGAATATTAACAATGAGGTACCTTAGATGAAGCTAAATGCTTACGGTGGAAATATTCTTTCATTATTCTTAATATAATGGTAGTTATATGCTTTAGGTATACAATAGAAAAGAAAGGATATGTTCTTGCGTTTATCTAATCAGTCTTTCTTGGCTGTACTGAGTGTGAATATTTTCTATAACTTAGTGTTGCTGGCAAAGTGTAATTATTTTTTATAACTTAGTGTTGCTGGCAAAAGCTATGGATCCACCAACCCCAGACGTTGTTGGTGACGCATTGAATATGCTATTAAGCATACGAGCATTGCGTAAATCGTCTAGGGGACGCTACGAACCCACATTTTATGGGCGGTTGCTTGCTAGCTTCCCATTGTCCTTTGATGCATCCATTCTCGCTGTCAAGTTTGGTGAATTGGGAATGCTAAGAGAAGGGATTCTGTTAGGTGTCATGATGGATACCCAACCGCTTCCTATCAGTCATCCTTTTGGAGATGATTCACTGGTAAATCCTATTGGTGAATTTATCTGCAATTCTGCATGTCTTTTGGAGATGATGTTAAACATATACAACTATGTCCTCTTGTACAGTTTCTGGAGTATGTTGACCACTATTTCGGTGGAGATGGCAGCAAGACCATTTCTGGTGGTCGAAGGGAGGTGGTACTCATGGCAAACCTATGTGCTTTTCAGTTTTGGCAGCGTGTCTTTAAGGTAATAAAATAGTTTCGTTATATTCCCAAGGAGTACTATATCTTATTCTTGATGATCTTACCAATGTTTCTCTCCTTGAAGGATAAGCATCGTCTTGAAAACTTGAAAAATCTTCTGTGGAAGGAGAAAGACACAGATCTCAAGTTGATGTTACCTGAGATTGAACAAGAGTGGTGTGATCTCCACAATGTTGTCCGGTCATCGTTCTATCATGTATCTGAGCTGTGTAAGTTCATGATGCATCATTTTTTTTTTATATAACCTTTCAATTTTTACTCCATGGAAAACAATTTTAGAACCACATAAGCTAAGAGCCTTTTTCTTATTACTCTCCATTTGCTTCTGCCCCTTTATTGGAATTTTTCATGTTTTACAGATGAAGATACACTTGGCTTATTTCATCGTTTCAGACCTCAGTTCATCAGTTCTTCTGATTCTCTACCGACCTATTACAATCCATATGAATTTGGTCACACATGCTATGTCGAGTGCCAACCCTCTGAGGATAGATATCCACACTCTGAAGATGAAGAAAACAATCAACCACCCCAGGAAGTAAGAAAATGTGTATCAGTTCCGTTTGTTCCTCCTAACTCATTCCAAGCTAATGCTATTGCGAAAAACATGGCCCATATTATCAAAGAGGTATTCATTTGACGACCTTGGTTCTTGTATTTAGCATTGGCGTTAACATGCTTATCAATCTTTTCATTGTGCCAAGTTTGTCGTTGATAAGTGTGCTGGATGCTAGAGCTGGAAACAGATCTTCTCTATAGCGTGTTGATCTTTTACTGTTTTCATTTGCCATAGATAAGAACTCAGTTCACACCATCTGATAATGACCATGGAGCAATCGAAACTGAGGATTACGCTGAGGATGGAGAGGTCCCAGTCTGTGTATATTTTCTTAATGGATCTTGCAACCGAGGTAACCAATGCACGTTCTCTCATACTTTTCAGTCAACAAGACCAGCCTGCAAATTTTTCGCGTCATTGCAGGTGCGTTTCCTTACCATTCTAGTTTGGTTATCTTCAGTTTCTCTGCTAATTAGTCGGTTTTGCAGGGATGTCGAAATGGAGAATTCTGTTTATATTCCCATGTCATGCAAAAACAGAAAACATCATACTATTCTCCTCCACCATGCCTTCCAGAAGAAGATGACTCTTCCATATCGCCTCTTCTGGATTTATTTCCAACTTCATCCGAGGGATGTATCCTTGTCTTCGATGACTCTAACATGCGTTTCACCTCAAGTATTGCGAACCGTTATCCGTCCTGGAGAATACTCTCCACGTCATCTTCTTCAGAGACGCTTTTCTGTGATTCATCACTTGCAGACACAAGAATTTTCTGGGGTCTCAATCATCCCTACCAAACCATCATCTCAGAAGCAGGAGGGGAGAACCCAATCCCATGGAATGAAGTGAAATGCGTGTTGTGGTTCCTTAACCCAGACAGCTACGCCGAAACTCCTGAGAAACAGAAAGCTATTCTGCAGAAGTTCTTCGAGTACATGGCAATCAGAATACTAGGCGATGCACTGTACGAAATCCGAGTAGTTCTCACTATGAACAACATCAGATTCTCACACTTACAGGTAAAATAGTCTTGTTGCTTTCAGATTCTCCATTCTTTTGTCCAACTCCATTCATTT